CTCGCCGAGGAGGCGAGTCCGAAGACGACGGTCGCGTGGGACACATAGTAAGTCCTTGCCTCTCGAGTGGAGGAGCAAGTACCCGTCGACAATGCAGTAATGGTTGGCCGGCGGGTGATCCGAAGATAGCTCTGCATAGAGCGTGCCGAAGTCCGGATCAGACTGATATGCCCGGATGAAGTGTCGCTGAAGCTCCTCGTCGAATGCGAAGGCATGATGTGACATAGCGCAAAGATCATGTCTTCGTGAGAGTGCATCTGCTGCGCGATTGGAGAGGCCGGAGACATGTTTCGGTGTGAAGTCAAATTGGTCGATGAAGTACATCCATCGTCTGATCGTGCTGCTCACCGTGTCATGCGTCTTGTAGTAGGTCAATGGATTGTTGTCTGTGACCCATGTGAACCTACGACGCCCAAGGAGGAAGTGCCGCCAGCGCTTGAGAGCCATCACGAATGCGAGCAGCTCCTTCTTCCTTGCATCATCAAGCGAGTTGATGGGAGGCACTTTGTGGCTGAAATACTCCACAGGGTGCTAGTCGTCGCCGTCGTGCTGTTCCAAGACTGCCCCAATGCCATAGCCGGAAACGTCCGTAGTCACTCGCGTCGGCAGGGTGGGGTCATAGATGCTAAGGACGGGTGCCATGAGCATAGCCGTCTTAAGTGCTTGGAATGACCGGCGTGCGTCGTCATCGAATACGAATGGCACCTTTGGCGACTGTAACCTCGTCATAGGTGCAGCAATCCTGGAGTATCCGGTGATGAATCGCTGATAGTAGCCCGCCAACCCCATGAATGAACGAACGTCCGTGGTGTTGGTGGGCTCGGGCCATACTCGTAGGGCCTCGATCTTGTCCGCAAGCGGACGGATGCCTTGTGGCGTCACATAGTGTCACGGTTTTCTTTGTACTAGGCTTGTCGTAGCCGCTCCAAAACGGTGCGCAGGTGTTCCACATGCTCGTCCAAACTCCGACTATACACCAAGATGTCGTCGAGGTAGATGAGTACAAACAGATCAAGCATGTGTCGGAACTCCGTTGTCATAGCCGCTTGGAAAGTGGTTGGGGCATTCGTAAGGCCAAACGGCATGACCAGCCATTCGAAATGCCCATACCGTGTCTTGAACGCGGTCTTGTAGCGATCCTCCTCGCGAATCTCGAGTTGGTGGTATCCTGACTTGAGATCCAGCTTAGAGAAGAACTGGGCGCTGCCCAATCACTCGAGAAGATCATCGATGCGTGGGAGAGGGTCGGTGTTCCTGATCGTCTGCGCGTTGAGCTTGCGATAATCGATGCACAACTGCAGATCCTTGTTCTTCTTCCGAACGAAGAGAACAGGAGCACCGTATGGCGATGAGCTAGGCCGAATCCAGCCTTTCTCCAGAAGGTCGTCGAGTTGTGCCCGAAGCACACTTAACTCTTCCTCGCTCATTCGGTAGATGCAACCGCGCGGAGGTACGGCCCCATCCTCGAGGATGATCTAGTGGCGGATGGGTCGATCCGGTACTACTCCGTGCGGGCCTTCGAACACGTCACTATAGGCGTCTTGAAGCTCGGTGATGCGTGGATCCGAAGGTGAGTCCGTCGATGAAGCGTTATTGGGGGGGGGAGGGCGTGGAGAAAACACACCCCCATCTCCTCGATATCGTCTCTGATGATGGAAGCTCGCATGCTTGCGGCGGATACCACGTGGCAACTGATCGAAGGATGGGGAAGAGACACCGTGCATGGAACTAATACTCCGTTCCGATCACGAATGTGAACGGTGCATTTGAAGAAGTTCACCGGGTGATCCTCGCTTCGCAGCCATGACATGCCCAAGATCATGTCAAATTTGGTGTCCAGAATATCAAAGGACACCGCCTCACTTGCGTGAGGGGCAAAGTTCACGGGGACAGCGTCAATGCACCGGTCGATTGACTTGTGCGTATGACCGTCTGCCAACGTGACTTGCGTAGGCTGGGACTTCCTCCGGACACGTGGGCCAAGGCCGGCACGTACCATGAAGTCGTGGCTGATGTAGTTGCGAGATGCTCCGCAATCGATCAAGGCACTGCAGGTCGCCTCTCCGATCTGAATGCATACGTATAGCAATGGTGCGTCGATGTCGTCATACCGTTGTGTCTTGAACTCACGGTCGATCTTCGCGATGTAAGCATGAAGGTCGACAACCTCTACTCCGACGTCCATCAACGGAGCTGGTACTGCAGTGTGCAAGTAGTCCCACAATTGTGCCATAAGCACGTTGCAATGCGGTTTCGGCAATCGTCCGGTCGAGGGAACGGGCATCCACTGGAAGTCCGTGAACATCAATGGGTCGAGCTCTTCAAGTCTTGACCATGACGTCGAATCCCCGACGATAGATTGCAGCGAAGCTGCCGAATCGGTTGCCGATGGTGATGAAACCGTGCATGCGGTGGACTGTTGCACGTGGAGCGGTTGGTCCAGCGGTGGAACCAAGCGGACAGCATAATCCTCGTAAATATACCGAGGACTTGCGACATTCGCATCCTCCCCAGATGTGCAGGAGGCCGCTAGCAAGGCGGCTGAATCTGGCGGAGTAGAAGGTGGAGTCGCCTCACCTTCGGCGGAGCTCGGTTTCCCGAGCTGAGGCGGGGTCGCACATCCTCCTTGCCCTCATCTTGGCACAGGGAGGTCTTGTGCTTGGTGTTGTTGCACCAATAGTAGCTGTCGTAGCGGCTGCGGACCTTGCACTCCGCCTCGGTCAAGCCAAACTTGACCCATGGAAATTGTCCTGGCTGTCCATTTCCTGCCTGCAATGCGGATTTCGCCTTCCCATTGTTGTGGGACTTGTTGTTGCTTCGCGGTTGGACAACAGCCACCTGATCTCCGTCACTTGATGCTGGAGTGGCTGCTGGGTTATATCCATTGTCCTGCTGGACTGCAGCGAAGTGCTGCTGTCGCGGACCAGTTCGTACCTTCTCCACATAGGTCGGCTGCCATGGTGACTTCTCGTGTGCAGCTGACCTGTTGGTCTTGAAGATCTCTCTCGCCTTGTCGATAATCTCGGCGAAAGTGGAGTACTGCTCGTGATCACCAAAAGCCTGGCTCAATGCAGCGCAGGATCTGTTGTAGAACTCACGTATGAGATGAGTGAAAGGCAGCTCCAGATTGGGCACTGCCGCAATCCTCTGCCACTCTGTGAGCCAATCCCATGTTGCAGTGTTGCCCTGTGACATGGTGAACAAATGGTTGATGGCGAGTGCCGGCACGTCGCCGACGATGAACTGCTTCTTCCACAGTCGTGTCAGTTCCTCCCATGTGATTTGGTCCTTCAAGTCTGGTACGTCGACGCAGTGGGAGGTTGCCAGGTGGCTCAACCAGGTCTGGCATCCGCCCTTTGAGTTCAGGAACAGGGCGCCGATGTACGCATGCTTGGCTACGGGCAGAGTCCTGAGTTGCATTGTGAATGCTTCCCACCAGAGGACCGGATCCTGCTGCGTGTAGTCGTCGAACCTCTCGAGATTGAAAGTTGGCATCTTATACATCTTCGGGTTGCCATCCACGTTCGTCGTCTGCAGCTGCTGGACCTCGGTCTTCAATGTATGTAGCTGACTGCTGATGGTGGTGGTCGGCGCAACGAAGGTGCTGATGTCGCCGAACATTGCCACTACGTGGTCAACGCGGTCCTCCATTTGGCGGCTAGAGGGTGCACTGCTGGAAGCCCCAGCAGCTGGTCCTGGTACAGCCTGTTCCAGGTCCAGCAATCGGGCATTGAGTGCCCGAGTTGCATCCTCGTGGCTTTGCACCATGCGGCGGAGTTGTGCCAACTCCTGATGCTGTTGCGTCAGGTCCTGGTACTGTCTCTCTAACTCTGACCGTTGGTAGTTGCAAGCATACAACAACCGCGTCACGAGTTTGGAGAGGAACTCCTTGTGCTTCTCTTCCGATGTTGCCTCGTCGCCGTTTGGTTCAAAATGCCAGTACTTGAGTCTGTTGATGCTGTTGGCTTCATGCCGCTGCAGCAGATCCTGGGCTTCCTTGCGACGAGCCTGGGCATCTGCGTCTGCATCGGCCTGTAGCTGTAGTTGTTCTGCTGCTGCTGCCTCTTCAGCCTGTACGCGGGCAGCCTCGGCTGCCAGCTGGCGTTGTTCCTCAGCCTCTATCTGAGCCTGGAACCGCTGCTTGTAGGCTGCAAGGGACTCGTTGGGCAGTTGGCCTGGCAGGCCCGTCATGTTGCTGACGTGGCACTGCTGACGTGGCACTTTGTCTGACGTGGCACTGTCTGACGTGGCACTGTCTGACGTGGCACTGTGTCTGACGTGGCACTGCTGATGTGGCACTGTGTCTGACATGGCACTGCTGATGTGGCACTGCTTACGTGGCACTGTGTCTGACATCACTGCTGACGTGGCACTGAGTCTGACGTGGCACTGTGACCTGGCACTGCTGACGTGGCACTGCTGATCTGGCACTGTGACGTGGCACTGCTGACATTGCACTGTGACCTGACACTGTGAGGTGGCACTGCTGACGTGGCACTGCTGACGTGGCACTGCTGATCTGGCATTGTGACGTGGCACTGCTGACGTGGCACTGTACCGAACCGGGATGCATGCAAGGGGTGGGTGGGAGGGAAAACGTAGGTAGGTAACCAACCCAACAATACTTTCCTCCGGCCCTAATCAACAGATAAAATAAAAAAAATAAAAA